GCCACCTTAGGTGTAAGGTGGCCCACTTGAGCCACAGGTGCCGAGCCATTTCCCTCGATTTTATTTGGGATCTCTTGTATCCACCTTTATCCCCCTTGTCAATTTTATTTCCCTCCTATTATTTAACACCAAGCCTACTTCAACATTTCTGATTTCTCTTCCAAATCCATCCCTGTATCTTCCAATATCTGCTGAGCAATTTACAATACTGATAATCATTTGGACTCATGGCTGCAATCTCATTGATCGGACAGGAATTCAACAATATGAAAATGGAGGAGAAGAACAAGGAGGTAAAAAAAGAATGGGAAGGACAGGGAGGGGGGAAAGTAAATATGGAAACACGACTCTAATTCCCTAGATCAAGTGTGAGGCGGAATTATGAATCTACCATTCCTGAATGATGGGGTCCCACCCCGGGGGTAGGGTCCTTTAAGACCTGTGGAACTACCTGGTGGCTCTCAATTGAAGAAAAATAAAGTGAAAAGCAGCAAGAGATAAAGAGGACACACAGAATAGAGTTTTCAAAGGTGGGAACACAGGGGACCACCACGAGCTTATGGGGTTCCAGCAAGTGGCCCTGATTGTTTGTTCCACTCAGCTTTTAATGAAGGCTATTTGCTCATTTAGCCCAGAGGGCAAACTGAGCAGTTTCTCTGAGTAGGCATGTTAGTTCTTATTCTATCTTTAATCATTAACTTTAAGGGTCTGAGCAGTCTTGAGAAATCTGAAGGCCTGTGTGGGGGCAGCTTCCTGTCTATGGCTATGCACACAGATTCCTTGGGGGCGGGGGGGGGGGTAGGTATTAATTCCCTTTAGTTATCTATGGAGCAGATGAAACAGCATCAGGCTCCTCTGAAGAAACGGTGGAAGAGAAGAGTTCTTCCTCCATGATTAGGGTACAAACCCTCCTGCCCATATTTCAGGGCTCAAGCTGTTCCCTTGATCGCTGCTGCCCTGGCCATAATACAAATCCCCACAATGGATATTTGCTTTGACTGTTGACTGCTGAGGACAGCCTAGTCAATGTTCCTTTCCAAGCCTTGCAGTATCTTTGTCTATGGCCATTACTTCTTCAGAATGTTTACAGACCCAGCAGGGGTCTTTGCAAGCTGTGTCTCTTACAGGCCAGGCTTCTGATAAAGGCAGGGCGTGCTCAGTTAAGTAATTTAGCTGCTGGTTTAAAGGTGAGTTAGCTAAGGGCTGGGCATGGTGCCTCACGCCTGTAATCCTAGGTGGGTGAATTGCCTGAGTCATGAGTTTGAGACCAGCCTGAGCCAGAGTGAGACTTCGTCTCTAGATATAGCTGGGTGTTGTGGCAGGCACCTGTAGTCTTAGGAGGCTGAGGCAAGAGAATCACTTGAGCCCAAGAGTTTGAGGTTACTGTGAGCTATGACACCATGGCACTCTACCAAGGGTGACAAAGTAAGACTCTATTGCAAAAAAAAAAAAAACATGTAAGCTAGCTAAACTGCTTTTATTCTGCCTTGCTCAGCTTATTTCTGTCTTTCCTTTTTGGGGGGGGTGGTGTTTTCCCTTGCCCAGAATGGGATCCATGTTCCCCATTCTCTCTGCACCTGAAACTGGTCTCTTTAGTAGAAGTATCTCTATATATCCAGTGATTAGAATATTTAAAGTACATAGCTTTCATGAAATGTGGTGCCTAAGTCAAACTAGCCACTTCATCGAGTGTTTAAAACATAATCACATATTTTAATGCTAGTGGAAATACTGGCTGGTTTGGGCTTATTAAGGAACAATTTGCGTACATACTGTACTTTCTGAGTAATTTGCTTATAGGGCATTCAAAGTCACTTTGTGTTGTATGTAATTCCATCATAACATATGATTCCTTCACAATGGCCACTATTTGTTTATTATATATTGGGAAGTCTTTGGGTTTTATATAGATTATCTCATCTAATCTTCTCAACAATCTTATACAAGAAGTGAATTTATTTATTTATTTATTTTTGAGACAGAGTCTCACTCTGTCATCTTGGGGTTGAGTGCAATGGTGTCATAGCTCACAGCAACCTCAAACTCATGGGCTCAAGTGATCCTCTTGCCTCAGCCTTCCAAGTAGCTAGGACTACAGGCACCTGCCACAGTGCCCGGCTATTTTTTAGAGATGGGGTCTCATTCTTCCTCAGGCTAATCTCAAACTCCTAAGATCCAGCAATCTACCCACTTCAGCCTCCCAGAGTACTAGGACTACAGGCATAAGCCACTGCATCTGGCCAGAAGAAGTAAATTTCTTATACTGATTAGATATAACAAAAGAGCAAACTGACATAAAGTTATTTACCCAAAAAGGACAAGTCACCTACGATGTCCTACTCCAAAACCCATGTATTTAAGTTCTATTCTATACTATTTCTCCTACATATTCAACTAGACTCTCAAAATGAAGACCACCAAGAGCAAGTCCATCCTTCCCAAAACAACAGATTATCTAACACATTTCTTGGCCAGTCATGCCTAGATTTTCAGTGATTTTTGACTGTGTCCCTTCCTTCCTTCTCTTCTGCATCTAATTGACAGTCACATCTAATTAACTTCACAATTCCTCGTAGAATCATGGGTTGGTATAAGTTTGCTTCACATACTCATCACATTATGTCTCATCTTTATAAATGTCATATGATTATTGGGATACTGCAAATTTCTCAAAATCTTTAATAATGTCCAGTTCATTAATGATGATGTCCCACTCAATAGAGATGATGCACTATTAATTTGGGGGAAATCTCTTCTACTTTGAATCTGGAACTTTTATTTATTTATTTATTTTATTTTATTTTTTTTTGAGACAGAGCCTCAAGCTGTCCCCCTGGGCAGAGTGCC